TGAGGGGCAGGTGGCTGAGTTGCACGGAGATTTCGTTACGGTCTCCAATCTTCCTTCTTTCTCATCCAGGCTTCGTATTGACAGTGACGGGGTTATGAATGAGGAAAATGTAAATTAATGTTGGAAGTATTCTGGATTTTTGAGGATGAGTGGCCCAAATTGTATGAACCATGAGTGTAGTTAATAGTTTGCGACTACTCAAAGGTCTGTGGCTAAGTGGTGATTCGGGAACTACAGTGCATACTAATCGAGGTGTGGTATTCGAACATATTTTTGGTCATTCCCGTATGGTATTGGAGGCAAGGGAATTGTGCGACCATGTTGTATAAATCCGTAGAAATGACAGAGGCTTCAATATTGACAGTACCGATTAATATTAAAAATGGAATACAGTTGCAGATTCCGAAAGTTTTTTTTAAAAACATTGTTTTTTGGGTTTTCAACGGCTTTTCCGTCTTTTAAGGGTATTTGTACTCTTATCGTGTCCTAACAGATTTTCAGAAATTTTGTATGTGAATAATTCGATGGAGTTGCATAATGTGTTCCAGGTTATTAGAAGGGTGATAGAAATGAAATAAGCTCTGCCAGTCAACCGATTCACCTTGTTCAATGTCTGATAACGGTTTAAGTATGTTACAGTTTTTCTCCTTCGTTTCTGTAATCTGTAGTATGTAGTGGGTTAGTGTCGTATCAGTGGATAATGTCACTCAATGATGAAGAGCCTTGTTGCCATAAACTAAGAATTGGAAGCTTTCATCAAATGAATGACAGAAAGCAACTAAAGAAAGCTGCGTTGAAGTTGATGAAAGGGTGATGTAAGTTTTCAGGCAGAAGAAAGAACTAATTTATAATGATGGAATGGGTCAGAAGGGTTTTTCCAGGAGATTTACCAGGAATGCAATGTACTAAGAAAGAAAGTGACTGCTTTCCCCAGCTGGATTTCATCTCTTACTGTATTCGTTTCAAGTTTATCACGCTCTAAGAACAGTCGCATTACTTTTTTACAAACTGATGAATATCATGGCAAAAATCAAATATGCAAATGGTTTCTCATCTTATTGCATCTCATCAAGAAATTTAACGTTAAAAATATGCAGCCACTGAGATGTCGGCCTCCTTTACATATGCGGTCGGTTGGGAAAGTAGTAGCTGTTTCGCCTTCCTTTCTGAAAGCATCCGTAACATGTGCTCGAAGCATCGCATATGTAATTTCTAAATGTGGAGAAGCAGCGGCCGGCTTACACCAACGCTTTGATTAGTTTTGTATAAAGCTTAAGTTTCGGCCTATAGGAAATTTTGTGTAATTGTGGTTCTAGACTGTCGATATTATGAAGGAATAACCTTTGAAACTGCTTGTTACCCGGTTATTGTTGAAAAATAGCAGTTTGCACCTATTAATACCGGCGTTTATTCTTATTGCATATGCATTTGGATAAAGATATATCCATCAGTATTCGAACATGTGTTTATTTGTCTGTCACAAAACGGTTCTGTTTTGCGCTGATGCACTGTAGATGTGAAAATGCCCTGTCGCTGTGGAATGCTTTAACGACCCACCAGGCTACTAGATGTTAATATTAAATGGTTTATGGCTTGTTTTGCGCATTCACTTCAGATGGTAATCGAATAAAGTGTTGACCTTACTTGCGAACCATTGTCTCGGATCATCGGGGCTCGAGACTATAGCAAAAATGGACCCCCTGAAGTTGCATCAATGGCTTATATATAATTGCGTTATCTACACCTCATGAGTGCTTCACCTGTGGCTCTGTAACTATTATGCAATCATTTACGCAAATGACTGCCCCATTTAGTTTAGCACAGGCAAATAGCAGCGATACAAATGATGCGTTCGTAACAGATATTCCTCAGAGGAGTATACATTTGTAATTTTTGCTTAGTGTTAAAATATGACGCAAAATCATCCTCGCATTACTACTGTCATTTCACATCTCTTAGATGTCATCAAAATACGGTGGACGCCCTGCCATTGCAGATGAGGTCCGCAAACCAGTTCAGACGAATCACAGTATGTCAAGATGGGAAATTAGCCCGTTCATGATATATAAAGAGAAGTTGGTAAAAGAGTTGAATTACCGCAAAGTTGTTCGTCTGTCAGCAGAAGAAATGCGCGGTTATGCAGCGGTCAGATGGACGGCGATGAGCGACACGAAAAAGATGGTATTTCGCGGTCTAGCGAGACATGCGTACATTCGTTTGCGTCGAATCCGTCGTTTGCTTCATTGCCGAAAAAAACATCTGACCGATGCATGGAGGCAAAAGCTTCGCATCAAGCCTTCAGAAGAGTCAGTAAGTTACACAGTTTTTGTGCATCTATAATTTGCTATGATTCAGCGACGATCGTCTAGATTTATTATAAAATGAAATTTAAGACGAATTTTGTTTTTGCGTCCAAATGATGAAGGTCAATGTGAAGCACCAAAATATGGTTAGTGGTATGTGATTCTGATGAATCGTGGATGTTTGTTAATTCATTCTTCATCTGTGCATTCGTTTTTTCTTTATTCGTTCTTTTTCCTTCTTTCATTCGTTCATTGAAATCCTGCTACTCCTTTCAGGTAGCTAGGCCGAAGCTTCAGAGATTTTTCTTTACGATCATGGCTCTCTGCCAGTCTGGATATTACCATGGGCTATGCAGCCAAGCACGACAGAGCCGGATGCTTAATATACGCGCTAACTGAATCTCTAGCTGCCTACTTGAAGTCTGACATGTTGCCTTGCTAGCAGAGTTCGTTGAGAATCTGTTCTGTAGAACTCTATCATATGTCCAAATCGAGCAGTTGCTGCCTTTGGATTTGGAAAAGAAGTGGCGTAGAGTCGAGGGTGCTTCAGATTTTGGTGTTCTGATGGTTGACTTGCAGCTGGAGTCCCATAAAGGAATGTTACTTCGACAGCATGTATCTTGTGTTGTCAGAAGTCGTCACCGTCAGCACCACAAAAGTCACTAGGGTAGACCAACGGACGGGCTCAAAGACAGACAATTGTAGATATTTAAGTTTACATATTCAGTGATGATAATCCGTTTACATAACATAGCTTACCATGTCTTTGAAGTCAGTTGTGAGGAGCTGTGGCATTCGAGGTTATTCAGGAAACGGAATATCCAGTTATAAAACCTGATCATGGTGACATTATTTTACAAAATTGCAGACGTTTGGGTGAAAGATAGAATTGTTGCCAATGTTGCCCAAATTTCGCTGTTGCCAGTGTTACTCATTCAGTGCTACTCCATCAACTACAGGGGGTTCATTACTGCATCGCTACTCCATCAGCTCGCTGCTCCTCAATTACAGGGGGCATTAGCCATAGGTAGTTTTGATTCGTTGATTTTGACAAAGGCCTAGGGGCGATGCATTAGAAAGAGCAACAATGATTGCCGAGAACGAATATCACAACGTATAGAATAAACATTAGTATATGTTTGTGTACGTTTGTTAAAATCACCAGCTTGAGCCGTTTGCGTGAATAAGCTGTGTTCTCAGTATCTTTGCGATGAAGCAGGAACCACTTCATCGCAGATGCACAATTCTACGAAAGAAAATCTGTCTCTACTTTGCTCATCATGTTGCATGCTGTCCTGCTGGTCGATTATACCATTTTTTCGTTCTCACAGAAGAGGCTTACTGGTAAGTCGACGTTTATTGCTCAAGTAATATGCTTAACATGATCATTCATCGATTGTCTATCAACTGAGAATACATCTTCAAACAGGATAAAGTCAACCCGTACGTAGTTCTGCCATTTAATCTTCATTACGCGTTGCAGTTAGCGCTGTTGCACGCACTCTAATTGTTGCTAAAACAACGGCTTCAGTGCTGTGTAATAGCACTGAATTGATACAATCAACACCCAAGCAGATTTTATTGAAGCAGAATAGCCTTTTACACCTCAAAAATTGGACAGAGAGCAAGAAAGATTATCATATTTAATCTCTAACTGGATTATGCCATCGCTGGAAATAACGGAACTTAAATACTTATAAAAAGCTACTTCCGCTTAAATGGAGTTGCTGGCGTAATAAACTAGAACCCGAATTGGTCAGTTTGTACGGTTTCACTTCTCTGTTATATTTGCCAGTAAGTTGTTCCGGGTTTTTCTACTTTTGACTGCTTTCCGTTAGGCAAGAACCCGTCTTTCCGCAGGGGAGGGGGTTCTAGCCGTTTTATATAAAGAAATAGTGATACGATGAAACTTGCTTCCGGTATTTCTCATGTGGACAATATCGTCTGTGTACTTCAGGTTAGACAAGATATCTGACCGTTATCAACGTCTATAATTTGTCCCTCGTCTTTGTTTACGGTCATCATTGTTTTGGAGGAGAAAGCGGGAATAACGTTTAATCACAAACGCTAAAGCGGCTCATCTCCTCGGCGCATTCCTCGGTATATAGAGAGTCAAACAGATAGTTAACATTCGGCTTTGATAGGCAACTATAGTCCCTGCACGTATCTATTCTAAAATCAGGACAACGTGTTCTGGAATCCCATAGCGTTTCAGGATTTTCCACATCGTTGGATGGTGATGGATATAGGTGAGAAATTTGAACAAAATGAACATGAGCACAACAGTATGTGATTGTCTTGATGCATCCAAAAGAAGCTCACTGTTATAATTAATGCGTCCTGAATTTTTTTCTCATGTTTAGCATAGCGCAATTCCTGCGGGGAAATGAGCCATCGATTGACGCCAAGCATACGCCTGTCAGGCTCATAAGTCAAAATAGCATGGAATAGTTACAGACAAAATTTGTTTGGCTACATGCATAGATGACAGCGGTAAATATGGATCAAAAGTCCGTAGAGATATGAAAGGAATTAAGGATCATGTGAATGCTTGCAGCTGTTAAGATATCTGTCTTCCTTAAACTTTCGTTATAAGGGATCATTTATGGCGTTATCAGTTCATATAGCATATGGTGCGACGTTGATCTCTGATTCTATCTCTTTAGCTAGGAACGCCTTATTTTTGTCGACACAATGTCTATGGCTATGTAGCAAGCATAGCATGTAGTATCCTGTTTTCTACCACAGAATATGTAACTTGGAGGAAGAAAAGCGATCACCTGACAGAGGCTCGAACCTTGAAAATCAGACGCTTTACCGACCGCGCAGTCTCAGCCATGAAAGAAATTGCTTCGTGCAAATGAGTAATCTGGTTCCTTTAAATAATTTTTTAATTTTGTTGATTCACATGGGCTTGTGGCTTCTCAGAAGAATTTTTCGCTAAGCTTTTTTAGTTGAACAGTTGGTGAAGATTTATATAAATCTTAAAGTTGTAAGTTTTTCTCAAATGTAATTTAATGATGATTTCCTTAATCCACAACGAATATTTAAACCAGCACCAGCTTTTCCGCAAAATAATTAGAAGATGGGTTAGGATCATGACAGAGATTGTCATTTCTCAACGAATGTGACGACGACTTAGTTTCATCTCACATACCACAACAAAACGCCGTAAGTTTAGAATCTCCAGAACGTGTGTAAACAATTTCCTACCATTTGCCAACGAAACGCTACTATTCTAAAATTTTAGTTTTGTCTTGTCATCGGTAATTGTTTTTCCACAGTTGTCCCCCTCACAGCGTTTACGATGTTTCCACTCTGTTTTAAATATTTCCGTAAAAATTTTGCTTTCTGTTTCGCAGGACAAACGGACCAGCATGGCAGTTTTGTACGAACCAGATCTCTTCTACATGGAGATTCGTCAACAGTGGCTGCTACGCAACCCGAATTTGTTGGCGAACAGATTTTCGATCATCAGCGTCGTTCCTCTCGGATGTTACTGGACTGCCAGCCCTGCGGTAATGGTGCCATCAGAAATAAGTGTTCTGACGTTTAAAATGTTTGACGGCATCAAAGACCGGTACAGTATCGTCGTCAACAGTGGTAAGCTAAATTTTTTCTATTGGTTATTCATGTAGAACTTCAGGTTTTGCAACAGAGGTTGACAAATCAAAATGTCATGTGTGCTCGTATGTCAACACCTACAGTAAAGAAGTTCAGTTATCTCATTATGTTCAAGAAGAATGAAATAGCAATATGTAAATTTTAAATAAGCTGATATTATTGACATCGCTTTCTGGACTTAATAAAGTTTGAATAGCGTAATTAAGCCTGCTACTGATGACACTTATGGATGAACGGCGCGATCGAAATATTACGTCGTTCCATGGCTATAGACTATTCACCATCCAGACATTAAGTGATTTCTTGTCAACCATTGTCGGTTCATTTTGCTACCCTCTTCTTAGCTGCTGCCCTGAAGGAGGCCGGTAAACCTAAAAATTGGAGCTCACATCATGATTATGAGGCCAGTTTGTTTTTGGAAAGGATAATAACTGACTAGTGAGTGTTTAAAGCCAAGAAACAATGCCTGATTGAAATTGACTTGTGTGCAACGAGTAATATGACTTGCTGCTTCATAAGATGTTTCCAAATTTGAGTCTGAGTCATATCAAGCGACCAGTCACGTAAAATCTCAGCTACTTTAATATTCAACTGCTGTTTGGCGTAGATGACGATAA